CTATCTGGAGAATGGGGCTGTTCTATGTGTTGTCTTCTCCATTCAGAGGGGCCCCTGCCTGTCTTTGCCAGGGGCCCCGAATTTCCTAAATCCGCCCCTGAACCTGTTGAATGTGAGTGGGAGGAAACACTGTGGTTAAAAAAAATGGAAAAACAGGCAGAAACTGAATATTATTGTTCATTAAAAGAAAAAAAAAACAGATCTTTTTTCTTCAGTTTTTTGTTCTAAACGTGAATCATCTGGAAAATATAAGAGCTGCAGAACAGAGTCCCACTCTTCTACAGTAGGTGGCGCTAAACATTTATGATCTGTTTGTAAGCTCCTATTAGAGAGCAGGAGAAGAGGAGAAGCTTCGTGCCTCTCCCAATATGGCGGCGTGGTTGACGTACTAAGCGGCGGTCTGACCGCTGGGTCGTTGGCCCGGACAAACATGGCTGCGCTGAAGTTCTGCGCTAACATTTCGTGGCTGTTTACGGAGCTTCCGGACTTCAGCAGCCGGATCTCCGCGGCTGCTTCTGCGGGCTTTCAGGCTGTGGAGGCGGCCTGGCTCTACGACTCCGACCTGGCGGAGCTGCAGGAGGCCAAGGAGGCTGCAGGAGTGGAGGTGGTCCTCCTCAACACCCCAGCAGGTAGAGCTCCGGCCTGCTCCTCTCTGCTCCTGTTCACGGTCTTCATCCTAATAAAGTTGGCTGTGTTTCAGGAGACCTGCAGGCAGGAGATCTGGGACTGGGGGCGGTTCCTGGGAGGGAGCAGGACTTCAGACACGGTCTGGACCTGTCTGTGAAGTATGCCAGAGCCCTGGACTGCAAGAGGTCAGGGAGCTGATGATGATGATGATGATGATGATGATGGAGGAAAGTGCAGAATGATGAAAAAGGGGTCCCTATGTCCTCCAGCAGTCTAAGCCTATAGGGCTTGGTCGTCGTGACGTAGGCACTTCGCGTCGCCGCCATGTTGAATGCGTCTTTTACCGCGGCTCAGACTATCAGACTATGACTATCGGGTACTG